GCTACGCCATAAAAATGCCACCCATAATATGTTGTATATTGATAAGTTCCCACGGGAATTGGCTATTGATACTCGGCATTTATAGAGGTCTACGGGCATTGGTTATTAAGACTCGGCATTTGACGAGGAATACATGTAGCAATTCGAAAAGAAAAAAGGCGATTGAAGCATTACGCAAGCTGAAACACGGGATATTTTTGAATGAAAATTGGATAAAGAAGCATTTTCATCATGTCTTGTTCCGCAGCTTTACATGTCACTATCTGCAATATAATTGACTTTTCGTGTGCCCCGTTCGTTCCTCGGAAATACTTAGCTTTCTACGGAGTAGATATAGACACTCCGTATGGCGTTAGAACATCAATGGCACGGAGTATAGAAAATAGAGTTTACCCGCTCTCCTTTCGTTTTAAGTTTAATGTATGTTTAATGTATGCACCCTGCATGCGAACTTACAACATACATACAACATATCAACATATCAACCTGAGTTGAGCCCTCTAGGGCTACCTATACTATCACGGAGTACTCCCCGTACTCCGTATAGAACAAGTGACCTGGAAACTCCAATGTCAAAGCCGATGATCGTCTAGCCGAAATACCGTTTTAGTCGCCGGGCACCGGAGATCAGGGACGTGCAAGGACGGATTGCCAAGAACACCGTCAGGGTCCGCGGCTGATACTCGGAGACACTTGGGAGTCCGGGATCTTACGTTAGTTGAAGAGCTTTTCTTCACTTTGTAGGTTGATGTTATTAATTCGATTACTTGGGAGGTCAATACCTTCACTAGGACTGTATTTTGACTGTATTTTGACTGTATTTTGACTGTATTTTGACTGTATTTTGACTGTATGTTGATACATATGTACATATGTAGTTACCTAGGTGTTTCCTTTTCAACGACGTTGGGTTTGAGGTTCCACGTTGTACACGTAAAAGTCTATCTACATCTAGGAATGGATCCATGGATACATAGTAGGTATTACATAAAAGTGCTAAGGTTTTCCAGGTAACTATATAACTAACTAGTTATATGTATGTACTAGTATCCTATCAAGTATTCCATATTGTATGTATTCCTCTAGTAAAGTTAAACGGTTATGCAATATCGATCAGAAACATACATATTAGCCGAGAGATAAAAAGATTCAAGTCATCCGATCGTAGGGTAAAATCTCCGATGCGAGGAAACAAAGATTAAACACGACAAAAAGTAATAAAAAGTAATAAAAAGTAATAAAAAGTAATAAAAAGAAAAGAAAAGAAAAAGAAAAGAAAAACGTCCAAAGAGTGGTCTCGGTAAGATCAACCGAACAGATCAACTGCACGAGTAAGGAGAAACCCCCCCCCAATGGAACCTTGGACATGGGTACGGAGTACATAAACGCCCGGGTCTCGTGCTAGACTCTATTCGCAGACCACAGAGCGGATGTCTAAGTATAGTCATGTCTCACTTGAGTACCTAATACGAATCGGTTCAGGGGCGCAAGGCATGTTGGCGCTCTCGGGAGTTAATCCAACACTAACGATGCAAAACATTGTTGCAGTACGGAGTAGTAATGTTGCAATACATTAGTGTCCAAGAGGAATCGAACACGGTGGCCTTATGGAGTGATATCCTTGTTTTCCAGATAGAATTGGGAAGTGATTTCTTTCTTTTCTTTCGTTTTTTTTTTGGCGCTTATTACGCCATGATGTACGGAGTACAGAGGATGTACTTCGTACTTCGTACTTTGTACGCTTTGCGTATAAACAGCCGAATGAACTGAATAATGTCAGTTACCTAATGTGGATCATTATTCGCACGGGATTGTCTCAAGCCCTTCTATCTGAGTGCTCTAATTGGACTTCAAGACGGATTAATCCTCCGCTCATCCCCAATTCTTTTTGGAGCCTTCGGTATTTATTCGGAGAAACCAGATCCCGTGAATAGGAGATTCCATGGAGGAATTGACTTCTAAAGTGCCGAGTTTAGAGTATGATAAACGGTAAAATCCCGACCTCCGGGTAACCCGCGTCATTTCCTCTCGGGTCTTTCCTAGAAAAGCAAACGCACACTCCAGGGGCTGAGTCCAAACCAGACGACGATCCCGGAGGCTTGCAGATCGGATCGCCAGAAATTGAGACATCCATCCTTCGTACGTGGTCAATTCCAGAGTCGCATCGCCGTTGAACTAGGATGTCAAGTGGGCCTTAAGAGGCTAGGGATTCCTTGAATAAAGAATATAGTTACAACATATGGTAACTTTGTACCCCGTACCCCGGGAAATTCCCTATAACGTGGTAGAAATTTCTTTTTTTTTTTATAGCATATAAGTATTTTCTCCGATCGAGAATGTACGGAATAAGATAACCTTCAAGTCTCGGTTTTAGCTCTTTATATAATATAGTAGTAAACTGCAAAAACAGTAACCCACTCCACTTGCGGAATACTTGGTCGATCCTTCACCAGGCTATCCAAAAGTAAGATAGATAAGCCCTGCGGCCCCGACGCTGGGAAGGAGGATTTCCCCGTCTAGGCATCGCATCGCCTGCGCCACCGGCCGAAGCCTAAAGGACCCACAGTAAGAATGGTATTCTCTAAGCTCAACTGGTATTATTATTTTTTTTATGCCTCCTTTTCTCTGCTTATTCTTGTAAACGTTTAACTTAAGAACTAGTTATATAAATCTGGCAGTTAGCTATACATACATCCATATGTTGTAAAAGATCTCTTATCTCTTATGTTTACTCCGTACTTTGTCCGGAGTATTCCGCAGAGGTCGTATCCGTAACCACGTAAATGTATGTAAATGTATGTTGTATAGTTATTGCACATGTTCGTCAATCAAGCAAATCCCGAAAGTCTTTTATTGGTGCACGTCTCACTTGAATGTTCAGGGCATGAGATTGGTCATTCTGTAGAAATGTACTGCAGAGTGGATATAAATCTTGGTGTTTAAAAGGCTATCACGAATAGGTACGGAGTACGTACTAATGTACCAACCCTGATCCCTGTGGAGGACTCGCCATTAATATAAGGATGCGGTAGTAGAGCGGATGAACCGGCGGAATATTCGGGGAGATTTCCACATTTTCCCCTATATTTTCCCTATATTTTTCCTATATTTTCCCCCAAGAGACGGAGTATGTACTACGTACTCCATGTATGTTGTACTTACTTACTTCCCCCACTGGGGAGAACGTCTATAATTGCCGTTAGAACAACAATTCCCGACGCCATTTCTCTGTGATCCAAGTTTGAAGACTCAATGCCGATGTCATGTATCCACTCTAATTAATGTAATGATTTTCTTTTTTTCTAAAAGAAAAAAATTAAAAAATTTCCTTCATTGACTTAATTTCCTTTTCTGAACTAACCATCTATAGAGACCATCTGGCACACCCTATTCCGAATGTGGCGCCTTTGGAGCCGCCTAAACCAAAAGGGTTCGAACTGTCTCATTTCAATTTTTCTGTTTTGACGTGGAGAAGTCGATTTTATTCCGAGTATGTTGTAGTCAAATCTAATTTATATTAAGTCTAAAAAAGCTGAACGGTGGTAATTTTGATGTGTACTCGAAATACTTGGAATACTGAGCAATACTCTCACTGCTTAAGCCTTTTTTTCGAGCTCCATACCTGAATTCCCCTCCTTTCTCATCTTTCTTCTAACACTTTCGGTCTTTTTTTGAGCCTCGGTTTCTTTAATTTAATTTTAATTTTTTTTTTTTTGGAGGGGGAGCCCTTAGACTATACTCTCCTGAAGAAAACCTTACCTTATCCTGCAGGAGAGAGGGGAAAAGCTGAGGCTTGACACCAGACAAGTTACGACTGGGTGAGAACGTCAAAAATCATTTCATTCTTAGTCTCTTGAATCTACAAGGGGCTACTTCTAGTGGTTTTTTCTCCCCCTCCCCTTCAAGGGTACCACTGACCAGTGGTAGACGGCACTTCCCTCGAGGATATTTTGTTCATAAGCCGTGTGCCTCCATCGGTCTACAACCCTATCGGTGTCATCTTGGATCTTTTCTTTTTGGTCTCTCACACATCCATTCGAAATTCGAATATCGAAAAACGCCCCTCACTGTTATTCTCTCCAATATCCTTGGTGGTCTACCCACACACTGCCGCCACAAATCCCTAGCTCTTTGAGAATCTGTAGCCGAGATCTCGCTGCCGTTTGATCTCCCCGCTCTGCAACTTGCTCGAGCATCTAAGTATTTATCAGTGATCTGCTGGGTTCCAAGTGCGGGGCTTTAGTCGTTCTCAATATTTGGCTCGATTCTGCGTGAGCCTGCAACTTCATAGGCCCTCGTCTCAAGCCTGGCAAAATCCCTGGACGTTGGCACAAGCTACTGGGATACTGCAGATACCCTGGCACGGAAACCATGCAGCTGAGGCCGTGACTTCTCGGGACTAATGCGAGATGATGGCCTTCTAAGCTAGCTTTAATTACTTCCCCCCTTTTTGGCTTTATCGGCATACGCACCTTGCTGAGAGTTGACTATATTGAGCGTTAATCCTTTCATCAAAATCTCACTGTCAACCGGTGTGCAAATTCCTCTCCCTTATCATTCCTGCTCGTCATTCACTTCTGAGCTCGGAACGTATACGATCTATTTCTCTTTGTTGCCACCGGATCCAAATTTGTTCGACTTTGAATTCAATTCTATCACTGTCCCTTCCAGACCAAGAAGGTAAATTAGTATGTGAAAAGCGCCTATGTCCCGGCAGAGGGAGATCGGAGAAAAGAGCTCATTGCTAAGCAGCCTGTCTCCTTTTAATAGGTACCCTTTTTGTGCACTATCTTTCTGGAACCTGAGAAATCCAAGAAGCCGAGAACCAGCCAAAGTCCACTATCACCAAGTCATTTCAGGCCCAGTCCTTTCCTTGATACTATACCCATTCAAGGGTACGAAACCACCGAACGCACTGCTACGCTGTTTGTTGTCTGGGTCTGTTATGTAGACAGTCAAATTGCGTGAAGCATTCTGACCCCGTATATCATCCAACCGCCATGTCAACACCCCAAGGATCTGGATCTGGCTCCGGCTCTGGCATTGGCCCACACTACTATGTTGGACCCTTCGGTCGTATGTTACCCACAGATGGCCCATCCTCGGAGCAGCAACCCGGGCTTTCAGCTAATTTACAAGAATCCACGGACCTTCCATACCAGCTTCCACCCCCGCGTGCACATGCTAGTCTACAATTCGGTTCTGATCCTTTTACGCGGCAGCAAGAAAGTTCCCAGGGCAAAGACAGTCGATCAAATCACCAGAAGCCAGAGCAACTTCCCTCCGTGAGTCAAATACTCACTCCAACACCGAGTACCAATTCACAATATCCTCAACCATTTGCGAGTTCGATACCAAACATGGGGCGTCGTGAACCTGCATATCCGCCTCATTATCACGATCCAAATCTCCAGGTTTCGCCAACCTCTGTACATGATAGAGGCCGCTCTGAATCTCTCCCACAACTGCATACTGGCCTGCCTTCATTGTCACAAGTGGCTCTGCATGGCCATGGAGGGATACGAAATCACACACCGACAAGAAGTGATCCATCCGCTACACCCTTTCCACACGGCCAGCTACCCTTTCACAGCACATCCTCACATGATCAAGCACTAAGCGGGGAGCTATCATCACCGGAAAGTTCGAATCTGTCACGCAACCAGCCCCTCCGCCCTCATGTGGTAGATGAGCGAGTAATTGACGGGGAGCTTTGCTTCGTCTATGCAGACGGGTCCTTCTGTCCCAAATTCATCGACGGCACACCCGTCAACGCAAATTGGGGTGTAACGAAGGCAGGCAGGCCGAGAAAGCGCCTTGGACTGGCCTGCTTGACCTGCCGTGAGAAGAAGATCAAGTGTAACCCTAACCCAACTCCCAAGGCCGTATGTGATCAATGCCGGAAATCTGGGCGTGAATGCAGGTTCGAAAGTGCGTAAGTGTGAATCATGATCTCCGAAGAATTTGCGTCCACGGACTTTACCCTGTTGAGCCACTGCTAATCTCCTTAAAGCCCGCGGGGGAACCGCCCTCCGTTGAGAGGATCAACAGGGCCATCTGGCAGACCCGACCCTTACGCCCCTACTAGCCATGGTGCTTTGGATGTTTCTACCTCACCTTACGACATCGCTCGAGCCTCGGATAGTGCGACCTCCCTTCCTGGGACTACCGGCCACTCACCGATCTCAGAAGGCTCGATGCTAACGCCGTCAGCCCAAGAAGCAACGTATGAAACCATGGCCGAGGCGGACAAAGCTGCAAGATCCCGATCTTACCGATTCCCACCGTCTTTATCCGGAACAGATGATACCATCGGACGACCGTCGCCACATATCGAGTCTACTCGTTCGCCCGAGTACTCTGACATTCTGGGGGAACTCAAGGACAACAACTCGGCCGACCCCCTTGCGGCATCATGGCAGATAGACCCCTATGAAAACGACCCGGAGACGGCAGTTCACTACGCCGAGTGTTATTTCTTGCACGTGAATGATGGTCTGTACCACATGTTCCCGCATGGACGATTCGGCTCGTGGTTGAAGACCTACCCCACCAAGTCTGCGGACGACAAGATGCTCCTTTATTCAATGATGGCTCTTGGATCTGTGTTCTCAGATAGACCGGACAAAATGGAAGCTATGAAACGATATTCTCGCATAGCACGCTTTGCCATTAACAGAAGCCAGCATACCCTCTCTTTGCAACTTGCTCAGAGCCATATCATAATGAGTCTTTGGTACTATGCTACAGGGTCGCTGGTCGGCTCTTGGGACTCGATCGGCGCAGCAGGAAGAGCCGTCTTCGGGCTTCGTTACAACGTGGAATCTGGCGGTGTTGTTGTGGATCAAAGCCAGATGTGTGAGTACGGGTTACATCCACAGGCCTTGATTGAGTGCAGACGGCGCACATTTTGGATTGCTTTCGTGCTTGATGTAAGAATATGCACATCCTCGTACTAAACACCGCACCCTAGTTACTGACTAAAGACCAGCGCTTCTCGAGCCTCTATTCCGCTTCGTCGACTTTCATCTCGTCAGATGCAGCCCTGCTGAGACTCCCATGCCGAGAAGAAACCTATGAGACTCAGCAGTACGCGACTGTCCCCTATTTCCAATCATTCCTCAACCACATCCCAGCCTCCACCGGCGACGATCGCTCTACCCTAAGCCCAATGGCCTTTTTAATCGAGATCATGGCTATTTGGGGAGACATTTCCCTGCATATAACCCGGTTACCACACATCCCTCCCGAGGCGTACAACCGACTCGCCGAAGAATTCCACACCACCATCGTCCAGAAATCTAACCAATGGATGACCCGACTTCCCGAGTACCTGGCATTCTCACACATAAATCTAGAACGAAGCATCCGGCAAAGAAAAGCAGATACCTTCATTTCCACCCATTTGTTCTACCACGCCAGTTTGATGAAACTGTACAGACACGCCCGCTACCAGAGCCTCCAACCCGAAATACTAGGCCAGTATATCCACCGAGCTCGATATCACGCCGTCGAAATCCTCCGCATCTCCCTTACCTTCGACCAATACGCCAAAAAGATCGTCCCATCTCGACACAACACAGAGACTTTCATCTGTCAATCAACCCTCCTGAACCCATTCCTCGGTTACGTGATTCTATCAGCCGTGGACATCCTCAGCTCCGCTGGTCTAGCGTCCCAGTTGCACGAGTGCATCTCTTATATTAGAGGTGCGCTGGACACCGTTCAAGAACTCGGTCGCTATTGGGATAGCTCTTTGCAACTAGTCGCCGTTCTTCATAGACGTCTGGGTCTGATGATTAGCTGTCTGAATGAGCGCAGCGTCCTGACGGAGAAACAGGGCTTTGCGCTTGATGGCCCGCCGCTTGAGACGAAGGTCCATGCCGGCGCTTTGCATTCTCATCCGCCTGCAACTATGGGTGAGGATCTTTTTACGGGTTCCATGCCTAGAGAAGTGCTTTTGAATACTTTACGACTTGATGAGACACTCATCTCGGAGAGTGGTATTGCTTGGATTAGAGATCCATGAGAGGGGTTTCTTCTCTCGAATTTCAAATTGGATTGACGACGTGATTGATCTCCGGGCAATGTTGATGTTCTTGCAGTGGTGATGGAATCTTGCTTTCCTATTATCCTGTTATGATGTGATGGATACATTTTCAATAATGATGGTGACTTGGCTGATTGATTCGAAAGTATCGTTGCCATGTATAACTAGATGGGGCCGTGACCTACATGACTTGACTTTGCCTCTTTTTGAGCAGCAGAGTTCCATATCTTCTACATTGTATATTACTTATAGCATGTTATTTACTTCTGCTTTTTTTTTTCATGCCTTTGAGCGAGTACTCTGCTACTACTATCTGGTCCTCATGTACGTATATATCAGACTTGGAAGACAAGACAAGCTTAATCTGAAGCCAATGAGATACATAAAGGTAAATCTTGTTATTTTATACAAAATTTTGTAGAGTGATAACGTTGCTATCATGCCTTAACTGGGAACTGGCCCGAATAAAGAAACCTGCCTTTAACAGGATCCATCAATACCGCGTAATGAGTATCTTCATTAACAATCGGATCCGAGCAAAGCCATCCCAACACTGTCCCGAGAGTAACAGACACCTCCGACTCCTCTTCCCTTATCTTCGTATTCCGTTTCCACGTTAAATGCATTGATCGAGGAACAGAAGCATCTTTAACCCTCCTCCTCTTAAGTTGCTGTTGGAAAACCCCATGGTCCTTCACCCTGCGATCCCATTTCCCCTGCATCGACGCCTGCCGCTCTTTACTCTCTTCAATAATCTCAGCCATGCTCTGCATACCATCCGCCACACGCAGACCCGTATACCCCCTATCATTCGCGATCGCCTCATCCATAACCGATGCAGTATCCTCGTCATGATTGGTTTTGATAAGGAAAGAACTCTCCCTCCGCCAAAACGCAGTCTCATAGTCCTTCTCCATGGCAACAATACTCCTCCCATCACAGAAAATCAAATACGCAGCCGTCGTGCGCAAACAAGGTACTTCCTCCAAGATCTCCTCCAAAGTCGAAGTATTCGAAAGCCCCGTAGATCCCCCAGCCTGCACACCGGGAAGAACACACTGCCTCAGCAGCGACGTGACAGATTGTCGCAACCCAAGCAAAACAAGAAAATAATTAAAATAAAACCCCACATTCCTGCGGGAATCATGCACAGCCCGGAAATTGAGCGAAACACTCAGGTCTTTCCGCACACCCGTGAGAACACCCACGAACCCAACGTACGTGATGCACGTCGCGAGCACTTTGTCCGGTGCATCGTCGCGCACGAATTCAAGTTGCACGATCAGATCGCGTAGTGGATCCATTCCCCAGTCTAAGGTTCGGAAATGCACCATTCGTGTCCAGAGTCCGTCCAGCATTCGTACCCCGCCGCTTGTGCAGCCCATTAATAGATCCAGCACCACGTTTAGACTGATTAGCAGGTACAGTGAGATTCCCGTTACCTGGCTGATACCACGGATCTCGGCGGTTTCTTCGTCTGTGTACAGTCTGCGGAGGAAGAGACGTGCGAGCCAGTGGATGGGTTTTGTTGGGATGTTTGGTGAGAGGTTGTGGATCACGTCGTCGAATATGCTGGTTACTGAGAGCATTCGGTCTTTGTAGATTTGGGCTAGGGCTTTGTACCGCTCTTCTGGTGGGTTGGAAAGGTTTATTCTGAATATTGGGGGTTGTTGGGAACCTAGTTCCTTTAGGCGGGTTGTCATTTTTGATTTGTTTTGATGGGTTGGTGTTCCATTCGAGGTTGAAGAGGGGAGATGTGAGGCTGAGTGAGGAATGGTGTTTGTGTTCAGATAGAGTGCTCGGTAAATTGATAAATGTATAAGTATTTTGATCTGAACTTCTGTAAACAAAAACTAAGAAAGTTGAGTGAGGTATACCAGGGGCTTATATGGGGGGTACACGATCTTCACCGAAAGAACTGCTGCCTTTTATACGCGCGTGCAGCACTGATATAGATCGACACTCAGCATTCACTCATTTGAAGACTTTGACCAACGTATATGACCCTTTTAGGCTGACATATATTGAAGAAGAGGTCTAGCGCTCGACGTGGCTCATTTTGCCAAGAGATTCAATGCCGATCCAATTGTGCTTGCGCTTGTTACCCCAGGTACTCTGTACCCAACGGGGTATGTTTAGCTTCAATTGGGTATTTTAGCTGATCTACAGAGTACTTTCCAATGTCCTCTTTTTGGGATTTATTTCTAACTGCCGAGTGGAATCTTGGCGTGCATGTATTCGTGGGCTTTGCTCCTCTCCTTGCTATTGATTACATCGGGTCTATGCTTTATGAATTGATGACAATTCTAGATTCAGGACATATCAAACATATCAAACCAGGCTAAAGACGAAATCCAATGTGTTGGATTGAAATTTATTGGGTACAGAGTTACTCCATACAACATACAGAAGAACAGCCGGATGATCGCCACTGCAGCTGGCTTGGGAACAGTTCAGTTGATCTGCATAACTAGCTTTTGATGAACATATGTACTCTATATCTTGCTCAGCTCCATTGGGTGTGTTTTCTTTTGTTAAGTGGAGGTGTGTATATGTATGTGGATTGTTCTCATTACAGTAGACTTGCTGGCACATATCATCCATCAATGTATTACTTACTTTCGCACCCATCAATACGTATAATATGAACTGAGATTCACGATATCTACATGTTAATATAATAACTATCAATACTAAAATTAATATGTCACATCATTCCAATTGCCCTAAGCCAATAGGATTCGAGTCACGGGTTGTCACCCGAGAACAAAGGCATTGTGTTCAAATGCTCAACGGGTAAATGTTTCATATTGGTCTTATAGTCTGATAGACTCGGCATAATTTGAAATTAAGATGCAGTTAACTACTTGATAGAAATAGCTCTCTATACGTATTCACGTATCCTTCCCCCAATTTCTCCACTAACACATCTGAGCGGGGATTCCAACGGAGATGCGGAAAGTTTCTCCGGAATTCCCATCTCCCTTCCACCTTGCTTCATTGCTCTGTCGCATTTCATCCAACCACCCCAAAATGGGGCTATATATATAGATCTCAAAAAACGAGTGCGCAAAAAGCTCTCTCATGTCTTCCTTCAACCAGTCTGGGACCGAGTTCCCCGGGGCGCAGGAGTTCCGCGCAACGGTGGAAGATGACGGACTCGATGGGGACTACACCATCGTCGGCGACTACCCAGAGGAACCCGACTATTACGTCCTGCTGGGTCTTGCGCGTAATCCACCCCCAACAGACGCCGAGATCCGATCCGCCTACCGAAGCCTGACCCTCAGTTTCCATCCCGACAAACAGCCGCCGCATCTCCGCCATGCCGCCGAGAGTCAGTTTAGACATATCCAGGAGGCGTATGAGACACTCATCGATCCAAATAAGCGCATTGTATATGATATATCTGGTGCTGCGGGCGTGCGGCAGGAATGGGGTCAGCTTGGGGCCATGGGGATTGGTGGGGAGGCACAACGGCAGGATGTTGGTGTTAAGGCGATGTCGCCAGATCAGTTCCGGCGATGGTTTTTGAAGACGATGAAGAAACGGGAGAGGAAAGCGGTCGAGAGTCTGGTTTCCAGCAAGGTATGTGCTTTCTGCATTGAGTTTCCGTCTGTGGGAAGGTGCGAATAGGCTGTTTTCTGACATTGAATTGGGTTTGATGTTAGGGCGGTATTACCCTCGGAATTAACGCGACATCCATGATCTCAGTCGATGAGGACGATGATGTGCAGTTTCATATACCTTCACCGCAAGTGTCCATATATGGCGTTTCGTATAATTTCAAGACGCCGGTGTCATTACCACAGCTTTGGGGCACGGCAGATAAAGAGGAAGAAACATCGGACGTCGAAACGGATTCGGGAGAAGATGTGCAGGAGGAAGTAGAGGACATGCAGCTGACTTGGAATGCGGGTATCACTGGAGGATTGGCTCGGCCGGTCAAGAAATTCACAGTTGAGTACGAAGATGGGACAGAAGGGGAGGAAAAGGTATGATGCGCTGTAGGTTTGCATCTCAAAATTTCGTTAACCACTTTTTAGTTTCAAATGCCACCGATCCTGGCAGGTCAGAACTTCCAGTTTGGGGCCACTGTGACTCCCAATCTCAAAAACCTGGTGGGCACAAAGGGAATTTGGGCCAAACATCCTTTCTCGCTCCTCGGGGATTCCCAAGTCAGCTTCGATGCTCTTCTTCTCCCTGTCCCGACTTTGAAAGCGAACATTGCTCGAGCCTTCCAGCCGATCCCTGGCACCAGGCCGTTCCAGGTTAGCGTGACCAGTATACATACGCGCTCTTTGGATGAAACGGCACCTTCTTTCGAGGTTCAAATCTCGAGGGAAATTGCCAAGAAGAAGATCGGAGTCATTACATGGTCCAGTGGCGTTGTTCATTGGCCCAACTTTCTTCTCAACTGGTTCCCGTCACTTGGAATGGGAGCTCAGAGTGCCATTGCATCTGCTAATGAGGTCAGTAACCTGCAAGTTGGTCTAATCTCGCTTCCCAAGGAGGGCCAAGCGGCAATCGATTTCGACGATGATGACGAGGAGGAGAGTGGAGATATGGACGAGGACGTGCGCCATCTTCTGAAGAAAAGACGCCAAATCGATCAATCCGCCGAGTCATGGCAGACCTACCTCCAGGTTACCCCGGGCGGTGGCGCTTTTGTCTTGAATTATTCTCGGAACCTCTTCTCCGGAAAACCCGCTGATGATCCGGTTAAGACGGAATGGAGTTCTGAAGGGTACTTCCCGATGCCGAGCATGGACCAGGCGCGTGCTGTACGACTTGAGATCTCGAGTGTTGTTGGGTTAGACATGTCTCTCAATTGGACCATTAAGGGCGTTCGTCGGGTTGGCGAGTACACGCGTGTTGGTCTCGGTATCGGCATTGCAGACAAGGGTATCATGATGACAGTTTCATGTAGTCGACTCGGCCAAAGCATTAATCTTCCGATTAACGTTTGCCCGGCTAATGAGTCAACAAACGGCGCTGCAGCGCTGACTGCTATATTCCCCTGGCTGGCCTACTGCGCGATAGAATTTGGATATATTCGCCCCCGCGATAGAAAACTTCGTCGACAGGCAGCTGCTCGACGCCACCGTGAGCTCAAGAAGTTGATCCCTAAGAAACGCGAAGAGAGCCTTCAGGCCATCGAGCTCATGACGGATCAAGTGCAAAGGCGGCAATCGCGAGAGGAAGCACAAGACGGTCTGGTCATCTTGAAGGCGGAGTATGGCTATATACCGCCAATAAACAAGAAACCCAAAAATGGGTTCGCGGAGCCTCGGGTGATCGATGTCACGATCCCTGTGGCTGCGCTAGTTAACCGGGGTCAATTGGTGATCCCCGGCAAATCTATCAAGGTAAGTCAAGCGATAGGCATTGGATTGGTCATTTTTTTTTTCTGCGTAGAATGCTAACTTGAATGTATCTAGTTCCAAATTTTGGGATTCCACGACCCTGCGCCATTGCTGCCCAAACGATTGAAGATCTGGTATAGATTCCAGGGGCGCGATCATTTTGTCGAGGCAGGCGATAAAGAGGACATCGCATGTCCCATGCGTACACACCTTGTATCAGAATGAGTACATCTACACTCATAAAAAGGTCGAAGGACCTTTTCTCCCATGTAATTATACCATCTAGTCGTTCATTAGCGACTTACTATTTCAACCTCCATTCTGTTGCTTTTACATGGTTGTAAATCTTGACAGTGTTTTTTTCGGCTGTTATCAATACAATAGTTTTAAAAACTGAAGCCTTTCTCGTATTGAAATAATCCTATTCTCTTCTAAAATGAGGCAGTTCAATGAATTGTTAGACAATGTCAGAAAGTCTTGGCACCACAAGAAGGTACGACACCCCATACAGACCAACAGTGCAGTTTGTCCCGAAAAGCCAAATGAAGCAAGCGTCACTCCATGATCTCTTCTCTTCAACCACGAGTGCACAGCTCTTGAGTTGCCCACTCTCACAATGTCGACTTCTATCGGTTCTGGACTTTTCAAGTCCCTCCCCAAACCCAAATACACTGGCGAAGAGGAGGAGTTGCCACAGCATGCGCAACCCCGTGGTCCGCGCGTGGTGGGCGCCGACCAGATTGATGAAACACAGGTTGTCCTACGGGTGAGTTGTGGATCGTTCTATTAACATACTAGTACGAGGACTAATTGATCCTGTCTTTCAGAGGACCGGACCCCCGCCCTACGGAAACCGTGCAGGATGGCGACCTCGCGCCCCCGAAGATTTCGGGGACGGCGGCGCGTTCCCCGAGATCCTAGTTGCACAGTACCCCCTTGACATGGGCCGAAAGGGTAAGTCGTCCAAGTCAAATGCGCTTGCTCTTCAGGTCGATGCCGAAGGCAAAGTCAAGTACGACGCGATCGCCCGCCGCGGACACGCCGACAACCGCACCGTCCATGCCTCATTCAAGGATTTGATCCCGCTCCGCCAGCGGGTGGATATGGGAGAGATTTCCCTGGACAAGCCGTCTGAGGAGGAGATCCAGGCTCAGATGGATAAGACAAAGGCCGCGCTTACAACCTTGGTCGAGGGAGCTGCCTCGGCCCAAAAGCCGAAGAACGTCAAGGGCGGACAAAGAGCTGAGCCGACTTTTGTTCGATACACACCGGCCAACCAGATGGGCAACAATGGACGCCAGAATGACCGCATTATGAAGATCGTCGAGAGGCAGCTGGATCCTATGGAGCCGCCCAAGTTTAAGCACAAGAAGATTCCCCGTGGCCCGCCCTCCCCGCCGCCTCCCGTTATGCACTCGCCGCCTAGGAAACTTACTGCGGAGGATCAAGAAGCTTGGAAGATTCCCCCACCTGTTTCGAACTGGAAGAACCCCAAGGGTTACACCGTGCCCCTGGACAAGCGTTTGGCTGCAGACGGTCGCGGCCTGCAGGATGTCTCCATCAACGACAAATTCGCCCAGTTCGCGGAGGCGCTGTTCACGGCGGATCGCCATGCGCGTGAGGAGGTGCAACTGAGAGCTCAGATGCAGCAGAAGTTGGCAGAGAAGGAGAAGGCACAGAAGGAGGAGCACCTTCGGATGTTGGCACAGAAGGCTCGTGAAGACCGCGCTGGCCCCAGTGCCCGTGCCGTACGGGCTCGTTCCCGCTCCCGAAGTGTCAGCCGCAGTGTATCTGTTTACTCCTCCAGATCTGCTACCCCCAGCGAAGATGACGAAGCCGCCCGAGACCGTGCGGAGCAGCGCCGCGAGCGACGACGCGAAGATGAGCGACAGCTGCGCCAGACTCGCATGGGAACGGAGCGTCGCATTCAAACCATGGCCCGAGAACAAAACCGCGATATCTCCGAGAAGGTCGCGCTTGGTCTGGCCAAGCCTACACAGAGCTCTGAATCTATGTGGGATTCACGTTTGTTCAACCAGACCAGCGGCATGCAATCTGGTTTCAATGAAGATAACCCTTACGACAAGCCGCTGTTCGCCGCGCAGGACGCCATCAACAGTATTTATCGTCCACGTGCCCAGGCTGATGCCGATGACGAGGATGCAGGTGAAGGCGAGATGAGCAAGCTTGAGAAGACCAAACGATTCGAGGTCCTGGGTCGCGCCAAAGAGGGATTCCGCGGCGCTGCTGATGCCGAGGTAAGCTTCCGTCTAGTATATATTTTCTTTTCATCGCTAATAAGCTATTCCTATAGGAGCGCCAAGGTCCTGTTCAATTCGAAAAGGACACTGCTGATCCATTTGGCATTGACAACATGATTGCCGATGTGACTTCGGGCCAGAAGCGTTATGGAATCCAGGAGGCTGAAGGTGATGATGACCGCAAGTCGAAACGCCCGAGGGTCGACGACGAATAAATCCGCTTTTGTTAATCTTTCTTCCATATATGTCTCTATGTTCTCTCGTGATCTTTTCACGGGCATCGGAAAAATATCCTCAATGCATTGCGGGCGTTTCTGGCAGTGTGATTCCTACCACTATCTTGTTCACAAAGGGAAATCGAAAATGAAGCGAGTCAATTGGGCTCGCTTGCGTGAGATGGGATATGCTATTTCATCTACAGTTACCAATAAAACCATGCTGATTTATGTCTTCGAATCACTAGTCGTTTGTGATATTTCTAATGAATGTGTACGGGATTGAGACAGCCTTCGCATAAGTACGCCGATGCAAGAGATACACCGAGGGAATGAGTGTATTTGGCCCCGGTTACTAGTTCACTAGCTACATACTGACACTGAGAAAAGAGGATATCACAGTAGTGAACACAATGTATTCCGTGGGACCGCCAATAGCTATGGAGCCCAAATGCTCAGCCATGACTTTACCGAAGGGCTCGCACGAGAACTGGTATTTGATCTTGGTGGGCATCGAGTATATGGCATGACTTTCAGCAACTGGATATTGCTGATGTCTCTCCATAAATGTGCACGCACCATATGGTTTGGGACCCTCCGCCTGCACTGTCTCATGTGGGCTACGGAGAGATGGCGGTCGAGAGGGTTGAGAGGAGTGAGGAGAGAGGAAGAAGAGAAGAGGGGGAAGGGTGGGATGAGGCCTTTTATAAGGTCACGTCCCACGTACCTTCCCAAAATGGACGGGCATGGTGTTGGCCTGGTTGCCTTAGGCCTCCTTGATAATATGAGACATCATCCTGTCTTCTAATACATGTAGATCGCACTAGCTAACTATGATTATATATATATGGCTTTTGTTTCCTCGCATCCATAATAGAGATGCCGATTTTGTACGTCTTCAAGGACATGTAGTCCATTTACCCAGATGGAATCAAATTCACGCAAGTACATATATATATAGCATTAAGATTTAATCTCAATGACTGATTGTCTAAAGCCAGCTACATCAACACCTTAGCATCCATTCAGTTCTTCAGCTCCTTCTTGTTAGGAGATAGCACACTCTCCAACCACTTGTAAGCCACAGGCAGACTGTCAGGGTATCCCATGTGCACTCGGTTCTCGAAAAACCGATTTTCCTTAGGACCGCCATGCTTCAGAGGCTCAATGCAGTCTTCAATCGGGACAACACCATCATCAACACCCTAAAAACAATTAGCTTTGATTTCTTCCCTCGACGAGACCGAGACAGGAATACATACGTTGAGCATAAGCAGTCGACAGTTATCCTGGTCAAGAACACCAGTCTCCACGAGCGAGAACTTCTTCTGAGCGTTCTTGACAAACTCCTCCTCATTGTCATATCCATGCTTCTCCGCCATAGCGGAAGTAAGACTATCACCATGGTTAATATACCCCACCACACAATAGCAAAAACCCAGTCATAACTCACTTAAATGGATACTCATGGTCATTTGCCTTAGCCAACCACTCAGGACTAAGAACAAAGTGCGATCCAGGTCCATGAGCAACAGAACCAGCAAGGCGCTGACGGTGCGTACAAGACGCCCGAATAGCATAGAAGCCACCAGCACTGAGCCCCCAAGCCGCGACGCGCGACATGTCAAATTCCGGCCGGCGATCCATGTAGTCCAACACGCTATTCCAGAGTCTATCAGGCGACTCAGGGTCCGCTGGATCGGCAGGCGAGTCTGCGGTACCGGGGATCTCAACGACGACAGTCGCCCAGCCACGGTTGATAATCTCGTGGGTACGCTGGCTGTTGTCAGGTCTGTATCCGTCAAGCCCGGTCATGAGCAGCACGACAGGAACGCGGTTGGTAGCACTCGCTTCCTCCGGCAGTCGGATGTACAGCGGGATTTCAGCGCCGTCGCGGCCGGCGCGGTGCGTGTGTGGAATCACTTCCTCCGTGATGATGGGCTTCCATAGAGAAGCGGCTTTCAGGTACACTTGCTTCTGTCGATCGAACGCCGCACGCTTGATGGATGTCTCTGGACGCGTTGATGGGCTTACGTAGGGGAAGCGCGAGATGCGGAGGATGACTGCTGCGCGGCGGTAGAGGTCCGCGGCGCGGGCGAGGTCGCCGTTGTTGAGAGCTTTTGTAGCTTCGTTCTCGAGTGCTGTTGCGGTTGGGAGGAAGGCTTCGGTGTAGGCGTCTGTGTTTGCGTCGTTGATGTTTTCCTGGTGTTGTTAGTCGTGGATTGGATGTATGGATTGTGTTTGGGGATGGGACGGGGATGCTTACAGCGATTAGCTTTTCGAAAACTGGCTCGAAGTCTTCCAGAGATCCATCGTGGAATGGGTAGATGGATTTCGAACACTAGGAAATTATCTTTGTTAGATTGCCAGGTCTTCTTTTTTATTGTTGGGAAGGGACGTACGCAGAATTTCCACTTCGACTCCCACAGGACCTTGATAGACCCCTGGTGAGGGTAGACAGTGTCGAACTTGTCTCCAAGAATCCAGTTCACCATATTGAAAGGATTGTAGATGGAATAAATTGATGGGTTTGATGTTGGCTTTTCTCCAACGAGCTACAAATTTGAGGCATCTTGCGTTCTTTTAATTATCTTGCCACCACCTGTACTTTCTGATAACAGCTAATACAAAAGCAAATCAAGGTCATAGTGATGTTGAATGAGATGAAAACAGTAGTTGTAGTAGCCGGAAACCCTAAATGAAACCGGATCGGCTCCATCGACATCCTGGCTGGGTATGGGGTTACTTCGAATATTTCCGAATGCGGGGGGAAAAGGGATACAGACAGGATTCTCAGATGTCTCATTACTCAATCACAAGAATAGTCGGCTGCTTATGCGGCCTCATCATGTCTTTCTATGTATTTTAGGTATTCTTTTTGGGTGTCTTCTTGTAGAGGTCCGAAATGAACTTTTGTACTCAAACGGTAGAATAATGCTAACAAAGTGTCCTTCATTCAGATTCTATGAAAAACAACAAAAACTAATATCTGAACAAGGACAACGCGTGATTCAAATGGCAATCGGCCTTGATCCTATACATGGCTCCCAGGGTCTCCTCTTACGACCTCGATACAGAACAAGCATCCAAAATCTCCGATGTATTAGATATTAGCTCCACCATTACAGGGCAAAATTTGACCTGTAAGAAAATCAGCAATATTCCAAGGGGTAAATTCAACATTCCAGAACTCACCGTTGATCCATTCTCCACCGGGACTAGCCAAGAATGCCACAATGCGGCCAATATCCGCAGGCACACCACAGCGCCCAAGGGGACTTCCATTAGCAAGCGCAAGCTCAATATCCTCAATAGAAGAGCTCTGGTCACAGCCAGGCGCATAGCGCCACGCGTTGCTCAACCACATATCACTCTTAACACCAGCAGGAGCAATCGCATTAACGGTAGCCCTCTTCTTGCCGAAGTCAGCAGCAAAGCAGCGAGTAAATCCCTCCACAGCACTCTTACTGCCTGCATACAGCGAGTGACCGGGCACACCTAGGCCAGCCGCAATGGAAGACATAAGCACAACACGTCCGCCGGGCTGGATGTGGTCATAGGCGTTCTTTGCGACGAAGAACTGCGCCCGTGTGTTGAGGTCGAACACAGCGTTGAAGTCATCCAGCGTTGTCTCTGACAGTGGAACGAACTTTTCTGTTCCAGCGTTCGACACCACAATGTCAAGATGTCCGAAGTGGGCAACGACTTGGCGGAAGAGGCTGGCGATTGAGTCGACGTTTGTCAGGTCCGCTTGGAAGGCGGCGCCGTGCACTCCCTGCGCTTGGATCTCTTGGACCACCCCGTCGGCAGTCTTGGAGCTGCTGGCGTAGTTGATGGCTACGCTTGCTCCTTTCTTTGCTAGCTCTAGAGCAATGCCGGCTCCGATGCCTCGGCCACCGCCGGTCACCAAGGCGACTTTGCCGGCGAGCTCGGGCTGGGCAGCGTTGGGGTTTTCGACAACCATTTTGGTGGTGATTTGGATGTTGATGTAGATGGAGTGAGGAGTGAAAGATTGTAAATGAGTAGGTGTGGAACCACGCTGGGAGTGGGAATCATAGTTTGATATTGAACTTGGTATTTTTAATAGTAAGACTGGGGTCCTGGCTGGACTCAGCTAAATGGCTTGGTTTCATCGTTCATCCCTATTGCAGAGGCTGGGCTTTGTTTCCGAATCTGTCGGTGCCATATTACAATGACAGAGATAGAGACACATCAGGTCCTAAAACAGAGTAGCTGCTTTCAAATAGGGACTCCAAAGTATCTTGGCTTTACCTTCTACCGCATGCGGAAGGCCATGAGGAAACGTCTCCACCAGTCACATCAGACGCTTCCGGTTGCATTGTGATGTCCCCGTACACGGGAAACATGCTGGCGAGATCCGAGGAATGCTGATTTTAGAGTTTCAAGGGGTTTAGAAGTTTCGAAGATTTTGCTGGAAGTGTACTTTGTATTTACCCACACTGCGCGCCTCGCAGTTGTAACCAGAGCTCGAACTATCTACAGAAAATAAACATCGCTGGATAACCATGTCGCCTGCCGTGAAGAACAACACCGCTGAGCCCAACTTGGACATCAGCTTCCAAGGTATGTTTCAATCCGCCGTCATTCACCTGCTTGTGCTAACATCAACAGACTACCTCATCCTCTCGAAACTCGTTTTCGACTGGGCAGACAGCTATGATGCTAAGGTACACTTGCAATCCCATGAAAATAGATTTTAACATCAGTACTAATGGTGCTTCAGGACTGGGACCGCCTGCGCAGCATCATTGCTCCAACCCTGAAGGTCGACTACACCGAGGTCGGTCTGACAAAATGGGACAGCATGGCCGCCGATGAGTACATGGCTATGGTTACCCACTCCGGTTTCCTTGGTGACAAAACCATCAAGACTCAGCATCTGCTTGGTCAGACATGGTGGGAGAAGATATCCGACACTGAGGTTATCGGTCACCATCAGCTGCGCGCGGCCCACCAGGTCTATGAGACTGAAGAATTGAAGACTGTCAAGCTGCGCGGCCACGGCCATGCTACGAATGAGCACTACTACCGGAAGGTCAATGGCGTCTGGAAATTTGCTGGGCTGAAGCCAACTGTGCGCTGGAATGAGTTGCGCTTTGATGAGGTTTTCAAGGGTCTTGACTAGACGATGAAATGGGGTTTTTGGTGGAGAGGAATTCGTGCGGTTTTTAATTGTATAGAATTTATTTGGTTTGCTTTCCATTTTCTGTGGAATTTGTACTGCGATATGGTATACCATGAATTCCATGGGCTATATTTAGCTACTACAAGATCCCAGGGCCAGCAAAACAGCAACGCCATCACTATCACTCAGCTTTCCTGGTCCGAAATAGACAAATCACAGTGATCATATGTATCATCTTCGTTGGCTGGTGGACAACACGCCTCCCTCTCAGCTAGTCCTGCCTTATTCTGCTCTTCCTCTTCTGTTTGAATAATCTGCGACAGGCGCTCAATGGCACGATTCGCCAGTGAAGTCAGATATCCATCATCCGGATGTTGTCGACAAATCTCTCCAAAAACATCGATATAGTCTGGGTTTCTATGTTGTCTCCCATGCTGACCAATGATGAGGCAATACATCTCAGTAACAGCGGCCGCAGTGGCTTCGAGTATCTTCGCTCTGTCCTCTCTGGTATAGACGTTTGAAGGGCTGCTGTCCATCAAGAACTTGAAAGCTGGATATGATGTGGACAGTAGCATCCATAAGAAGGTATTTTCTTCGATAGATTCTGTCAACTTGCGTAGATCATGCACCAAATACCTTTTCAGAATCTCGGCTTCGGTGAGAAGGGAGACCCTAGTAAGTGGTACCATTTTTCTTGCCCACTTAATCATGTCAAGGACACATTGACCTGCTGGCATATTCGCCAACAAACATATATTCTCCAAATTATACTTGGTGTCCATACCAACTAGGGTCTCTGTATAATCGTTTGCAGTTGGTGAATTTGCTGAAGCGTCTGGTTCTCCCGCCATGTTGGTCGGTTCTTTGATTGTTGCCGAAGAGGAAGGGTTTCCAAGGCCATATTGATCCGAGACTTTCGTATTGGGACTTGTAGGCGTTGTCGGAGACAGAGTTGACGATTCAACCCTTCTTTCGTAAAGTGTAACCTGGTAGGCCTTGCGATGAACCCTGCACTTATACTGTGACAGTCTTTGTGTATAATTAGCTTCGAACCTGCAATAGATTATCTGGGGACATACCCATGCAACACCCATGGCGTTGCGAGCAGTTTCCGATCAATCTCAGTGAATTCGCCCCAGCTGGTAGGCACAAAGAGCCGGGTTGACTTGGGGTGTTGAGACACTTGGACGCAGAACGGGACATTCAGTCCTGGGTTTTCATTTTTGTCTGGCGGTCTCTTGTTCCCTGCTTTTGCCCAGTAGAAGAAGAGTCCGAGTCGGTACTCGTCATTTTCGAAAGTTGAAGATCTGATCTGATCGCAACAAAATGCCTGTGGGGCCATTTTTATAGTGGAGATGAGAGTGGACCTGACGATCTCGGGAGCGGGAGAAATGTGGAGAATGATATTGGCAGTCCAGGTACCCTTGATCTATTGAGCTGGTCATAATGTTCTCATTGCTCGCTTGTATGTATACTTTTTGCAAACCTTTCTACAAGTTTGGTCGGGGGGAGAAGGATCCAAGGTACACTTAACCTTCCGTATATCAATTTGTGAACTACTGTATAGAGCCAAAAGTAGCGAGACAGCTGATGTGTACATAGTCCTATGTGTTGATAGATGGGAGACGGACAGGAGCACACCTTCCAAGTTTGGAGGGAAGCACCTGATTTACCTGTACCCCGGGGTCATTCTTTCCTATTTGGTCTATTTTGTCAAAATTCGAACAGGTTCAATGTTTGCACCTGCTTTAGCGAGATTCTTCTTTCCTATTTGATCGATTTTGTCAAAATTCGAACAGATTCAATGTTTGCACCTCCTTTAGCGAGATTCTTCTTTCCTATTTGATCGATTTTGTCAAAATTCGAAATGTTTGCATTATAGTCATTGGAAAGGTATAAATACCCCTTCCCCCCCGGCTTCTCTCTCTTTTTTTTTTTTCTTCCGTCTTCACATCTCTCTGCTGCTTCTCAGCTTTCACCATGGTCCCCAGTCACCATGACCCACCTACCATAAATATCTCCCTGCCCTAACCTTAAAACACATATGCTTACTTATTTATAGGACCTTCCTTCACGAATACAAGATATCTACAATAGTATCCCCTCTTCTATTGTTGATTGAAGACACGCTGACTTTTTTCTAGACATCCTGATGGTAGGACTATCCATGGCGTCGACTCTGCACTCTGGGCCTTGTCATCATGAGCATCCACAATGACCTTGATTGTTGTCCACTATGACCTTGACCCCTTATCATGCATTCGTTATGACCATCCATCATGACCATCCATCATGACCACCCATCATGACCACCCATCATGACAGTCCACTGTGCTTCCGCCATGCCTACCATCACCAACCATCTTAGCCTTTCATCTTGGCTATCATTCATTGTGACAACGAACCATGATAACTATATACCCCCTTCCCCCAATCCAATGTATACTGACTGTTTCCTAGGAACAACCTTGGTGCCCTGATCAGGATAACTATATACCCCCTTCCCCCCTAATCCAATGTATACTGACTGGTTCCTAGGAACAACCTTGGTGCCCTGATCAGGATAACTATATACCCCCTTCCCCCCTAATCCAATGTGTACTGACTGGTTCTTAGGAACAACCTTGGAGCCCTGATGCGATGGTGGTACCCCACGGTGACGACAAAATACACCCCTGGTTTTTACATCTTCACCTTATCTGTCTTGACCACCTTCTGTCTTGACCACCACCTGTCTTGACCAACCTTCTTCTGTCTTGACTACCATCCGTCTTGACCAACCTTCTGTCTTGACTACCATCCGTCTTGACCACAATCTGTCTTGACCACCTTCTGTCTTGACCAACCTTCTTCTGTCTTGACCACAATCCGTCTTGACCAACCTTCTGTCTTGACCAACCTTCTTCCGTCTTGACCACAATCCGTCTTGACCAACCTTCTGTCTTGACCACCACCTGTCTTGACCACCACCTGTCTTGACCACAATCTGTCTTGACCACCTTCTGTCTTGACCAACCTTCTTCTGTCTTGACCACAATCCGTCTTGACCAACCTTCTGTCTTGACTACCATCCGTCTTGACCACAATCTGTCTTGACCACCTTCTGTCTTGACCAACCTTCTTCCGTCTTGACCACAATCCGTCTTGACCAACCTTCTGTCTTGACCACCACCTGTCTTGACCACCTTCTGTCTTGACCACCACCTGTCTTGACCAACCATTTACCATGGCCACCACCATCCACCGTAACCACCATCCATCATGGGTCTTCCAAAAGTCATGGCCACTGTGCTTCCGCCATGCCTACCACCACCAACCATCTTAGCCTTTCATCTTGGCTATCATTCATTGTGACAACGAACCATGATAACTATATACCCCCTTCCCCCAATCCAATGTATACTGACTGTTTCCTAGGAACAACCTTGGTGCCCTGATCAGGATAACTATATACCCCCCTTCCCCCCTAATCCAATGTGTACTGACTGGTTCCTAGGAACAACCTTGGAGCCCTGATGCGATGGTGGTACCCTACGGTGACGACAAAATACACCCCTGGCCTTTACATCTTCACCTTGTCTGTCTTGACCACAATCTGTCTTGACCACCTTCTGTCTTGACCACCTTCCGTCTTGACCACATTCCGTCTTGACCAACCTTCTTCTGTCTTGACCAACCTTCCGTCTTGACCACAATCTGTCTTGACCAACCTTCTTCTGTCTTGACCAACCTTCCGTCTTGACCACAATCTGTCTTGACCAACCTTCTTCTGTCTTGACCACCTTCCGTCTTGACCAACCTTCTTCTGTCTTGACCACCTTCCGTCTTGACCACCATCTGTCTTGACCAACCACCTGTCTTGACCGACCTTCTTCTGTCTTGACCACCCTTCTGTCTTGACCAAACCTCCGTCTTGACCAATCTTCCGTCTTGACCACAATCTGTCTTGACCACCTGTCTTGACCACCTGTCTTGACCACCCTTCTGTCTTGACCAAACCTGCGTCTTGACCAATCTCCCGTCTTGACCAATCTCCCGTCTTGACCAATCTCCCGTCTTGACCAATCTCCCGTCTTGACCAATCTTCCGTCTTGACCAACTTTCTGTCTTGACCACCATCTGTCTTGACCAACCACCTGTCTTGACCACCCTTCCGTCTTGACCAACCATCCACCATGGCCACCACCATCCACCGTAACCACCATCCATCATGGGTCTTCCAAAAGTCGCCACCTTCCCCCATCTTACGCATTCACCTTGCCTTCGATACCTACGACCTTCCACTATGCCCACCATCAACCATCAATCACCCACCACAACAATAACAACTTTCTTGGCCTTTCATATTGCCTTGCATTTACCAAAAAAAACCCTCAACCTTCACCATACCATTGATAACGACCTATCGCAACCATCCATCCTGCCAACCATCTATCCATCTTAACAACCACCCACCTTGACTACCATCTATCCACCTTGACAACCATCCATTGACAACCATCTTGAGAACCATCCATCCTAACAACCATCCACTTTGAGAACAATCCACTTTGATGACCATCTTGACAACTACTTTGAAACCTACCTTGACAACTATCCACCTTAAAAACCATCCATCCTGACAACCACCCACCTTGACAACCATCCATCCTGACAGCCATCTATCCTAACAACCATCCACTTTGAGAACAATCCACTTTGATGACCATCTTGACAACAATTTATCTTGACAACAACCATCTTGACAACTACTTTGAAACCTACCTTGACAACTATCTTGAGAACCATCTATCCTAACAACCATCCATCCTGACAACCACTTTGAAGCCTACCTTGACAACCATCCACTTTAACAACCATCTACTACGGCCACCACTCAAAAGGTCCTTGGGGTTTTACCGTCCGCCATGGTCACCACGATACTTCCCATCTTGACCATCAACTGCGGCTACCATCCACTTTGACAACCATCCACTACGGCCACCACTCAAAAGGTCCTTGGGGTTTTACCGTCCGCCATGGTCACCACGATACTTCCCATCTTGACCATCAACTGCGGCTACCATCCACTTTGACAACCATCCACTACGGCCACCACTCAAAAGGTCCTTGGGGTTTTACCGTCCGCCATGGTCACCACGATACTTCCCATCTTGACCATCAACTGCGGCTACCATCCACTTTGACAACCATCCACTACGGCCACCACTCAAAAGGTCCTTGGGGTTTACCGTCCGCTATCTTCACCACGATACTTCTATCTTGATTATCAACTGTGGCCACCATCCACTTTGACAACCATCCACTACGGCCACCACTCAAAAGGTCCTTGGGGTTTACCGTCCGCCATGGTCACCACGATACTTCCCATCTTGGTCATCAACTGCGCCCACCATCTACGACGGGTCTTTCCCTCTTGACTAGCCAGTATGGCTATCGTCCACCTTGGCACCATTATGGGTATTTCGATCTCGAACATCGACTACCACCATCCGCCATAAGACCCATCTTGGTCATCCGCTACAAAACCCACGACCATTGTTTTACCAGTTGTGACACACACACACACACACACACACACACACAAAAGCTTTCACGGGTTTCCTATCAAATCTCTCCTCTTATCAGAATCAAGTCCTACGGTGGAACCAGCAAACAAAGCTAGCTTTGACAAATTTCTCGACCAACAAATGCCCAGTACACCACAGCCAGCCCAACCTCTCGTGGCCAAACCAACAACTCAAACTGGCTGTTCCAAGCTTCCGGATCAAGCATTTTCCCCCACTGATCAATTCATTTCACCACCAACCTTTTTAATATCTCATATCGTTGTCCAGGATCAATATGGTTTTGTCTACATGAATCAGATTTCACATGTCATTAGGATTATCTAGAAGGAGAATCAATTAGGGTATCTCATTCTATTACTTTCAAAGATTTCCTCTAGATCTGTATGCCGGAACGCGGCAAAGATAGTAATATGTAGTTACCTACTAAGTGTATCTACTATCAACCCTTTGAAAATTCGCTCCACTACCTCTGACAAAGACAACAGAAATTTCGTTATATTGGGAGTTAAAGAGAAGCAATATAGTGAAACCTCAGCAGACCAAGACATACGTAGTTATTCAACCGTCATAACCTCCAGAATCTCAACAATCCTGATCATACGTCGAATCATTATTCCCTCCATCACAGTCATAGCTACCGTAGTCATCAGAAGGCCCTCTATAATAATAACAGCCATAGTCCTCAGTATCCAAGTAACTCTGACTCACGCCATCTTCATAATACGTGAGCTGGCTTTCGGGAGGCGAATATGACTCTGCATCGTAGTCTCCAGTTACCTGAGTATCGAACATAGGCGAAGACGAAATAAGCTGGTCTTCATTCCCATCCTGGTTGCCATCTTCAGACAAAGGTATCCCAGCCTCTTGGTTTTGATCTTGCACTTGCACTTGACCTTGGTCTTCTCCATCGGAATCGGAATCGGAATCATTAGACCCAGTCTCAACAGTAGTCGAAGACGGCATATGCTTATCGAAGACAGTCGAACTCCCAGTTCCCCAGTTCGGCCCACAACCAGATCCCAGACTAGCTCCCCATGCAGAGCCGTATCCCATCCCTGATCCGTATCCATAACCCGAGCCACTAGACCCCGACCCAGATCTAGATATCTTATACTTGATTGCATTCTCGAGCTGCTTAAGCGGTTTCGCGATATTGGCTCGCCAATGATGTGAGCTCCCCGTACTTGGTTCGTAGAGGTTGAGATCGAAGACCCGGTTGTGTTGCGTGCATTGGAAGCCTTTTGTCCTGTTACACGATCAATAAGGATAAGAATATGGAGAACACTGGGGGAAGGGTATGATAAATGTATATGTATCCGAGGTGTAAAGGTATAGGTTTATTGTAACGTAAAACAACTCACTCATTAATCGTCACGAAATTTGCTTCCAAAATCCCGTCTTTGGAGACTTCTTCGAAATTCCCGTGCTTGTCACTTGCCACGAAGTATCGGATACACTCTATCGGTCCGTTGGGGACTTGGCGCACGAGCTGGATGCAGACGCTTGCTTCGGAGGGATCGGTGGATCCTGTTAGATTGCCCGTTGTGGTGAGGAGGGCCCATTTGGTGAATTCGGTGAAGGTTTGTTCGTGGTCTGGATTTGGGAGTTTGGTGGGTTGGATGGTGGTGCAGCAGAATGGATGGGTTGCCATTTTGGTGGTTTTTGGTTTGAATAGGTTGTATGGGGATATGCTTGGAAGGTGGGAGTTGGTAGTATGGGGGGGTTTATTTCGTTGTTGGTGTGTGTGGCTGATAGGTGAGGTCGTCAGGATGTGATAATTCGACTCCTTCCCGATTAGGAAACGGAGCTGTTATTCCCAGGTACGTGGTGGACCAGGGTTCACTATACCATGTCACTCACTTTCTATATGGATATTGTAGTTGAGGTTGAGTTCAGGATATTCCAAGGTTTGTCAAAATACTATGGCATTCATAATAGGATGTTATCTAACTACATAGTATGTTATGCATGTTATTTATATGCACGAGACAGGCTTATTGAATTCATTATTATTGTCAATCACTGTGATGTCAATTAGACATAAGAGGTCAATGTGATATAAGAGGTCAATGAGAAATGAGAAGTCAAAAAGACATGAGAAATCAAACAAAATTGAGGTTGAGATCAAGATATTCTGTTGGTGTCGTGGTGGACACCTGATTGCTCAGGCCGTGATGTTAGACCACCTACATAAGTAGCTCTCTGGAGAACTATAGGAATCAACCTTTTCTTCTCTCTCTCTCTGGCACCCAGAAGCTTCACCAGTTTGTCAAAAGACTGGCATCCATGATAGGAAGTTGAAGATAAATTTTGACCGCGTTCAATGAAATCCTTGACATCAGGCAAGCCTATGGGGCCTCACCGAGGTAAACATTACAGAACTCCCCTCCTCTTGTATGGCTGTCTAACTAACTCTGGGGTAGATTTTCGAGTTTATGTACCATGTTGTCGAAAATTGGCACCTTTACGACCTTCAAGCGGATGAGCAGCAATCGCTCAGGGTAATCCTACAAGAAATCGAAATGCTCTGGTAAGAAATTGATGGTAGCTCATGTCCAAGCTATACTTTGTCTAATGACTATCGTTTCAAGTCCACCACACGGAGCTTCGTTCGCCGGGGCTCAGAGCCCTTTCAATCAATAAAACGGGGTATAAACCCACTATGGAACCCGAGAAGCCCAACAGAGGGATCGAAATTCCTCCTCAAACCCTTTATCTACAACGGCATCCCGTACTCTGGAATATTCGACTTACTTGGGTTGTTCCTATCATCAATAAGCCCCGCGCCAAACCGAGCTACGACTCAGAACTTCTATCTCCCTATTTTCTATCTCCCTATTTTGAGAAGAGATGGATTGAATTAATTAGTATTGTCAATCGCTGTGATGTGAATGAGAAATGAGAAGTCAAAGAAAACTAATATACAGGCACTTTATAACCTCCATAAAATCGCAATTATCATATCACAGATGCTCGTACTACTCCCAATCCTGGAGCTCATTCAAAATATCATTATGACTAGAAGAAGAGGTTAGCCGATGAGCACATTTGAGCTTATTTTTCGTATACTCACTCAGAGCCTGTGATGGGATACTTGTTGTTACCGTCGATAACATATCCACCGTGGGTATTCTGGTTCGCCCACGGGCCCTTGGTCGACTCCTCATGAATAGTGAGGTGGTGATCGTGTGGCTCATTAGGACTGTCGATAGAGACGGTCGTCTCGCCCGTGTGAGGAGCTGGCCAGTTACCCCCGCCGTTGGCGGAGGCGCCATTGTGATTGGGTGCCGCCGGTGGCTGCTCGTAATAGGAGTGCGGGGAGTCGGGCTTAGGAGCCTCGGGTTTGGGTTGAGGTGCAGACGGCTTGGACACCGGTGCTGGTGACGGTTGCTGATCCGGGTGCGCAACAGCGGGACTCTCGGTCTTCTTCGTCTTGGTATACAGAGCGCCGTGGCCACCGAGGGTAGCCGTAGTGTTAAGCCCGGTCATGTCAAGACCCGCGTTGCCGGCGGCATTGCCACTAACGGGTTGCGGGTAGGCTGCGCAGGCGTCGTAGTGGCTCTTCGGGGGAGCGTGCACGGTGTTCGGGAAGGTCTCGGGGGCTTCGATGATGGTGGCCATTAGACCAGCTTCGACGTGCCACTCGACATGGCAGTGCAGCATCCAGACACCTGGGTTATCGGCCCTGAAGCGGATGACAGTGTGACCGTTGTTCTGGACCATGATAGTGTCGCGTTTGATCGGGGTGGCCGAGATATTGTTCCATAGGCCAGAGTAGAAGCCGCCATCGACCGCGCTGCGCTGCAGAACCTGGAACTTGTGACCGTGCAAGTGCCATGGGTGCAGGTTGTTGTGGTGGTTGTTGATAACGAGTTCGACGATCTCGTTGTGCTTCAGGATGAAGGGGTTGACTTGGCCGTATACTTCAGGGTTTGAAGAAAATTCCGCACCGACAGTGTTGGCCGTGTATAGAGTTGGCACCTTCGGGCCGATATAGGTTTGGTTGTTGACAGTGAAGCGAGGAACACCGTCCACCAATGCACCGCCGGTGTCCAGAATGATCTGGCGGTCCACGGGCTCGAGCAAGGGCTCGTGGTCTGCTGGTATCAAGGCGACGTCATCCACAAAGTCACTGTTGGGGTCGATTTTGTGGAAGACGGGAGGCTCGGGCAGAGGCTTGGCCTCGTCGTACACCAACCAGGCGGTGGCATTGGGGTTGAAGTTTTCCGGGATGGTGCGGTTTTCGTACACAAACATCATGTTGACATCCATAGTATCCCAGATCGCAAAGTTCTTACTAGTATCAGCCTTGGTCTTGATCAAGACACTCATACGCTGGCCAGTTGCAACGCGCAGGAACTTGTCGCCAGCAGGGTGGGGGTCGGTATAGACGCCGTCAACCCCCACAACAGTCATCTCGTGGCCATCGATCACCCAGAAGTGGCCGGGCCAGTTTCCAGTGCAGATAACGTGAACCAGATACGTTTTGTTCGGCAACACCTTGATCTTGGTGTTGGTTGAATCGTTGATCAATGATGCGTCGGGGAAGGGCTCTTTGCCTTTACCCACCACGGGCCCACTGAGCAAGTCCGGCATCTGCTGATGGTTCCAGTCGCTCAGGGTGAGCGTGAACTCATCGTCATATTCGAAAGGAGCGTTGGGGTCGTGAACAATCAAAGTACCACGCAATCCATCGGGAAACTGGCCCGCGTTGTGTGAGTGATACCAGTATGCTCCTGGCTCGTCGACCTATGCTGTAATTAGAATATCTTCATATTTCTCGCCCTGGGGTGGGTTTACCCACATCAAAGTGATATTGCATGTGTTCACCGGGAGGAAGTGCGCACTGGGTGGCTCCAACTGCACCATCCATGACACCACTGCCCTTCTGGCGCATGCCATGCCAGTGGATAGCCGTGGACTCGTTTCCAAGACCGTTGTAGACATCGACGATCAGTTGGTCGCCCACATCCACGTCAATCTGTGGGCAGGGCCATTGGCCATTGACACCGATTACTGGGCGCTCAAAGCCATCGGGGGCAGCGGTAACCCAAGTGAGGTTCCAATTGTGGTAGACGTCCTTGGCTGCGGCTAGGCCAACCCAAGTGGCCAGCGCAAACAAACTAAACTTTGCCATATTGGCAATCTTCAAAGAGTGAAAAACGACCGAATCAAAAGGATAGTCAAATCTTCCAAACGAGTGTATTTGAGGTCGGGTTAACTAGAGAAAAAAAAAAAAAAAGAACGAATGTGAAAACGCGGTTGTCGAAATGGGCGTAGGTCGGCCGCTGTACTGAATGTCGAAAATCAAAAGTAAGAAGCATGGAAACCAGGCCTCTTTAATGGCGATAGAAAAAAGAAATACAGTCCTGTCGATCTACAGGGGCCTGAGTATGCTGCTCGGGTGGGATGCCATTTCCACGCTTGCGAGAGTTGTCATTGGTTGTGCCTTCATTCATGAATTCAAGGACTGGGATAACAAAGCGCATAGTAGAGCAATATCAAGCTCGGCCTTTAAGTTTCCTTTGTTTTGTCTATTCAAGAATGCTGTATGTAGTAGACTTGGAAGGGTGGAATGTAGATAATCCACCTAGCTGGGAGGTGGTTCCTAAACTGGCATGCAAGGGGTACATACTCGAGTGTTGTATTCAAGTTGACGGACTTGGTTTGGAGTAAACAGAGTATGGACTGGATTTTAGTTTCCATTATTGAGCAAATCTGTTATACAAGATTGATGTGTCTGACAGGTCAAATAGGTTATGGAGTATCAGGATGATCGACGATATAAGCTTCTTTAGCGAGTTACATGAACGCGAAGGAACATGAACTCGAAGGAATCAGTGAAGATATCTTCGGGGATTTTATCTTCAACTTCTAATATAACTTAACTTGTACGCTTTAACTCGTCGCTTCAGGTTAGCGAAAATAGGGTCCCAGTCCACGATTATATAAGGGGAGATCGACAGCCCTAAGTCCAACATCATTTCCTATATATAAAGACCATAAAGAGACCTTAAGTATACAAAGTCTAACTGACTATGGATAAATTCCACAGGATCAACAAGGCCACATAAATTCCCATTAATTTCCCCTCCTTTATGTTGTAACTTGCAACCCGATCAGGTTTAGACACGGATATTCCCAATGGGGCCGGGCTGACGTTGCACTGAAATCTCTTTCATCTCCTCTCCAGGGCTGCTACGCTGCTACAGCGGCAAAAGGGGGAAAAAAAAGAACACCCCTATAGGTTTTTAAGAGGCCAGTGCGGACTGTTATCTTAAACAAGCCAAGTAATTATCCCCGGACAAGGCGGTAGATTGGCAATCGGGAGATGATTTCCTAGAATCAGTCAAATCAGATATCCTATACTCCATATATCAGCATGAAGAATATACTCTTAGCCCTTCCCTTATATGTATAACTAACTACCTAGGTATATTCTATATGATAAATGTGTGATAGCAGTGCGAGACTCGGAAAGCGTCGGGGTAAAAAGAGAGCTAAAGCCCCCACAAAAAAAAAAACCAAAAAAAAGGACCAGGAACAAGGTGAGTGTCCGTGCGGGTTAATTAAAAGATGAACTGTCCGATAAGATTTAGTTTAGTCAAATCGTTTTTTTTTTTAGTTGAAGATAAGTGAGAGGGAAAATATATAGGAGGGGGGAATAGTTGGGAAAAGAAGAAAAACAGAAGAGAGAGAGGGGGAGTTGCCCACTTTGACTTCTTTTTCAACTTCCATCTTCTTTTCCCTTTACCCCCCCACACCAGTTGACAAGAATTTGAACGATTTACAACATACAACATATTTTAAACATCTATGCAAATCTTCTCTGCCACTGACGACATCGGTTGATGGCGCTTCCTCGCTTCAAATAGCATCATCGAGCCTCAATGGCGTAATAGTGTGTGGTTGATTCATCAAATCCTCAAAAAGGTACAACTACTACATATACATCACATCCTCTCTCTCTCGTGTTCCATGACTATATAACTCATGATACTCATGATATGGATCAATCAATGACTCTCATCGATGCACAAGTGCACTTCCTAGTGAGTCATCCATGCTACTTGCCTACAACACCTACTAACCCAATAACTAGGAGGAATGTGTGGTCCTTGTACACATCCCATTGGAGCTGTACCCCTACTTTTTAAAGTCTGTTCTAAGACTCATTTTTGATGAGATTCCACCACTGGAACATGAGAAAGATGAGAAAGATGACAATCCTTCATTTGATGATTTCGAAACCGCTTTCGAGCATGACTCGTATAAAGCACCTGCATTCATGAACCTCTCTATCACTCCAGTCGAAGTCTCTGTCATGTGTCCTAGACGTCTGGTCGATAAATACTTCCTCCCGGTCATGGACCAACTCGACCAATTAGATGACTCACTCCGATCCCGTCTGATCGTGAGTGAAAATGACTATATCGCCATGCAGGTCCTCGGCGAAGGCCTCGAGGCCGGCAAACGAGTCTTGGAATTAACCAGTCCACTTGCCCTGGCTGGCATGTATGTGAACTCCCAATACCTCACCTATATATTTTCCAAAAAGCCTACCCATACTAACCTCCCCCAAAGCTCCATCTTCTTCATCTCAACCTACTTCTCCGACTACATCGTAGTCCCCAAACAAAGCAAAGCAAGCGTGATCTCCGCGCTAGAAAACAGAGGCTTCCAATTCAACAACACCTCAGCCGCCTTCATCACAACCCCACTAAGCCCAACAACCGAAAGAAGACTCAGCGACCTCATCCCACCAGGAACACCCCCACCGTCAACCCTAGGCGAACTCCAAACCCGCACCTTCAACAACCTCCGAAAACACCAAATCACCCCTTCCGTAGACGACTCCCTCCGTCTAGTTCAATGCGCAGCCCACCACGAATACCACAGCCAAGAATCCTCAATGTCCATCATCCGCGACGCCCTAACAACAGTGCTCCTCCTCGACGAACCACGCTTCCTATCCCTAACCCTGGCAGCCCTCGACCCAGCAGCCTCCCTACTTCTAGAAAAGCGTCTCCTCCCCCGCTTCGCACGCCAATCCGTCTCTCCAGGCGGAACACCCATCTACGAAGATGGCTCCGGTCTCCTCCTCGGTTCAAAAGAAGACCATCTAATCCCAATCACCCTAGACCTCCGCGACCTGCCCCTCGAAGCATCAGGCATCGTCTGCGGCGTCGCAGGCCGTCTCGCCACAGCAGCTACCATCCCACTCTCGTCGCACACAGCATCCATCAACAGTGGCGTGAGCAGCATCGTCGGATCCGTCCCTGGTCTGTTTGATTCTTTCGGCGCTCGTTTTGCTGCTCTCTCGATCGATACGTCGTCCGCCTCTGCTCCCTCCCATGGATTGCTGCCCTTGCCGCTCTCCACGCATCATCTACAACCTGATGTGGATGTTGTCGATGCTGTTGAGATTAGCTTTTTGAGTACCGCGCGTGCTGGCACGATTATTGTTGGTGAGGATGAGCTCAGGAGGGCTATTGGTGCGCTTGAGGAGGAGAGGATGCAGTCGCCTAGGCTTGATGGTATTGGGTTCGAGTCGCAGACTCCGCCGGATAGTCCAAGACAGCGGGGTTGAGTTGGATGGTTTTGGGGTTGATTTTATAGTCACTGGCGCCTTGGTATGACTTATGTTTTGAATGTGTGCATGTGTTGATGTGGCGTCTGGGGAATCAAAAGTTTGTTTGTTTTTATATTTTTAATGGATAATATTACTCTATCGGTCATGACATGAGTTGGCCGAGTGTTCTGACTATTAATATGGGTATATTACTTATGTTAATCTGAGATTTTGTTATAAAATAAATATCAACGAAGTCCGTCGAGATATATATACCCGGAGAAACACCACCATCCACACATTCAATCTAGAATCTTTTAAGAAAATACAAAAATACACAAAGTAGCATAAAGCAAGATGACTATTTGATTAATTTCGTATCTCATTATTGATATAACAGTGTTGGGCATAATATACAGGCCCAATGCTCCTGGCTCCAGGGCGAAAACTTGGACCGACATAGATATCCACTGGTCTGCAAGGCATCCCTATCTTCTTCCAAATTATTGTTTAAAATGACCGCATCCTCAAGCCAATTGAAGTATGACGTTCAGTGGAAATTTCCAGAGCGCAATAAGACCGCCACAGAGCTGGCTAGTCCATATCAGATTCCGTACTCCGTCCTTGTTCGGCAGGTGGCATAACGTGGCGTGTAGTAGTTTAAGAGCCGTGACATTGGACGTCGACACGAGGGGAGGATGTGTCACCCCGTCATGATAGCCTTGTCTGAGACCTCATCCGAGACATCTAGACCAAATGACCCAAGTTCATCCGTAGACCCTGACAGTCCCTTGAAACAACAGTCAGCACAAGTACACCGAGCACCCCCCCCAAAACACACCACAGTACTTACCATCAGAACACCCAGCAGCCCAATCCCCAACACCCTCATTCCACGCCACACAACTGACAGCCTTAACCTTCTCCCCAACAGGCACAGCAGCAATAACCTCCCCTTTAACAACATCCCAAGCAAACGCCGCCGCCCCGGCCGTCCCTTCCTCACTCCCACTCAGCACAACCGCATCCCCCATCGCAAAAACGGAACGCACCCGCAGCTCCGAATTCAGATACGAATGCTTCGGCTTCCCAATACCACCCGCAACCGTCTTCTCCCCCGAAAAAGCATTAAGAACCTTCCCATCCATCCGGTCCAGCAAGCGGATATACCCGTCGAGCGTCGAAGCTAGCAGGGCATTCCCGTCGCTGGAGCAGCGCACGCTCGTCACGGGATGCGCGAGGACGTCGACGGTCGTTTTTCCGGTTCGCACGTCATAGATCCGTGCGTGGCCGTCGTAGCTGCCGCTTGCTATTGAATAAGATCCCATGTGCACGTGTAGTGTCGAGACTGTGTCGGTTGCTTCCGTGAGTGTTTGGATGGGTTTGTAGCTCGAGGAGCGGGTATCCCAGAGGTTGATTGTTGTGTCTGCGCTGCCTGGAAGAGGGGAGAGAGGAGGATGTTAGTTTTTTGCATGCTGGGTAGGAGGGGAAAAGAAGAGTTGTGGCGTTTACCAGTTACTACGACGGAGTCGCCATCACCGGCAAATTGCACGGCTTCCACTCGGCTGTTGTGACCTGACCATCGTTTGGTCGTGGTGCCTTGCTCGACATCCCAGAGGAAGACTTGGCGATCGCCTCCTACGCTGGCGAAGCGCGCGTTGTCGGCTGCGACGGCGATGTCCAGGACGGAGTAGCCATGCGCTTCGTATTTTTGGATAGGGGTTGTGGTCTCGACTGTTGTCAGACTATTGGAGTTGTTCGGAACTGCGCGCGAAAGGTGGACTGCTCGGTCTGAGGAACCTGTGAGGACGTAGGTGCCGCCGGAGCTTGAGAAGGTTACCGCGTTGACGGGCCCTGGAAGGTATTAGCGCTTGGGTTTTGGAGGAGGGGGTTTGGTTTGGACGGCGTCTGGGTATATCCCAGGCTTACCATTGTGTGTTTTAAGAGTGTGGATATGTCGGGTTGGGAATATTGTCCGGGGCATGGCCGTTGAGTTGGTGGAGAGAAGGAATTGGTGGAGTTTAGAGAATGCGGGATGGAGCTCGGAGCTTCAACTTCCCAAGTCCCACATAGAGAATCCTCAAGAGTTGGAAAAAAAAGAAACACTAGAAATTACTAATTTACATCGAATCTATGAGTTCACAAGAATTAATTCTGTATTTCATACGGAATACAGAAGAAGTTATTATCAAAGTTGTAGACACACCATCGCTAGCTACCAGCGGTAAATGGATATAACAAACAAAACGAACCAAGCACTCAGACAAAGGTGCTTCCAAGCGCGAACGGCAAGACATAGAGTACTCAAAAGAGAAGAAAAAACAAGAGCATGGTTCGACTACTCCCCTTTTGAACGATCCGGGTCGACTCCCGGTAAAATTGCAACATCCTAACGACGTCCGTGGCTGCGGGTGCTGGAACCCTGCAGACCCTCGATCTCCTGCTCGAGGGATTTGATGCTGTAATCGGTTAGCAATATATCCACATGAACCATAGTCCGGAACATACGCTGCGTGGGTAGCCTCCAGATCCTTGTTGAGACGGTCGCGCTCTGAGATGAGCTTCTGTTCCCATTGGCGGAAACGCTGCTCCTCGACCTTGACCTGCTCGGTGAAGCGCTTGCGCAGAGTCTCTTCTTCCTCCTTGAACTTGGGGTTGTCGAGTTTGCGTGGCCGGGCCTCGCCAAACTTGCGGGTTTCCATCTGCTGGGCACGGTAGGCCTCGTAGTGCGATTCTTCCGTGGTGTGAATAAGGTCGAGCATGTGAGTGCGGATCAGGATCGAGCGGAGCTTCTTGAAGTCGCAGTGGTCCTCGTTCTCCACCTCGGCGACACCCCAAGCGTACTGACGACCCTTGACAACACGACCATCGTTGGCCTTGACATCCTTCTCAGAACCGATGACGGCGAAAGGCATGGCAGCCATAAGACTGCGGGCGTGGGAAGCAGCGTGCTCGTCGTCCTCCTCGACGGGCGGGGAGTAAATCTTGATGCCCTGGGCCTCAATCACAGCGCGGATCTAATCACCTGTTAGTCCGGATTCTCGACTCTCCTCGTGCACCCGTTCCACTCACTCTATCCTTGTAGCGCACCAGATCCGCGTGGCTCAGGGTATCAGCCTTGGCAACCACGGGGATCAGGTTGACACGGGAGCTCAGGCGCTTCATCACCTCGATATCGAGAGGCTTCAGGGTGTGTCCGGTGGGGCGGATGAAGTACAAACAGGCGTGCACACGCATGTCGATCTTGTCGGTTCGGCGGGGCTGTTGCTCCTGGAGCATGTACGACTCGTGCTGGTCATCCAGGAACTCGATAATGGGTTGCCATGAATCACGGTTGTTCACGTAGTCTCCGAAGCCAGGGGTATCAATGACGGTGAGGCGGACTAGAAAATCGACAACCTGTTAGCCGTCGAAAATGCGGAAGTCGAAACCTCTCCCCCGACACGAAAGGTATCTGGGTCGCACCTTTGAAGAACTTCTCCTCGAGCTCAGCCTTGGTAATCTCAATCTCCACGGTTCGGTCAACCTGCTTCTGGTGGCGGCGCTTGTGATCGGCATAGTTCTTAATGGTGGTGGAGAAGAGGGTGTTGATGAAGGTCGTCTTTCCTAATCCCGACTCTCCGGCAACCTGATCGAAGCACCATTAGCATCAGAATGCGCCGTGCATTTTCCTCTCTGTGAAACACACCATAATAGTGAAGGCTGCACCCCGCTTTGCGACAATCTTGTGACTATACAAGCTTGATTAGAATCTTTCCTCGTTATCGACCGTAATCATTCAAAGGTACACACCGCTGGTTGGGGAGCTGTATCAAAAATGATGGGTTAGCTTCAAGATATCATAAGGGGAATGCTGGCGTTCCTAATAGCTTACGTTGGCAATGCCAATCGGCGTGGCGGTCTCTGAGGTCGACATGGTGGGTTATAGGGGAGGGGGAATTAAAAACAATTGGGGAATCAACAAAAAAAAAAGAAGATGAAGAAGAGACCCCTGGTGTAGAATACCAGTATTGAGAAGAGAGAATAAGTCGACTCCTTAGGAGAAAAAAAAAAGGGAAAAGGAGGAACGAATGTGAAATCGGATTGTCTCTCGAACTGCCCGTCGCTGCTTCCCCCTGAATCTCCTTTCGTTTTCTGGAGTATACACTCGCCTTGCCTATCTGGGTTTAGCGTGATGGACTAGTACTAATTGGGTCCGGAATCGGGGCATGGATGATCCGAAGTCTCTTATCACGGTAGCTGGTGGAATTATCTCTAATTTTTTGATCTTTGAGATCGCCGACAGCCAAAATGAAGACAGACTTCAAGGTATATACTACGCTTGGATTGTTGGTCGCATGCGATTACCAGCATGCCCTGATTATTAAATTTCTTACTAACACCCTCAATTTTAGTTCTCCAACCTTTTGGGGACGGTATATCGCAAAGGAAATCTTCTCTTTACTCCCGATGGCACATGCTTGCTTTCGCCAGTAGGCAATCGAGTCTCGGTCTTTGATCTGATACAGTATGTATTGCTTGGTGTTTCTTCGTTTGGTGGTTTGGAAACCAGTCCGCTTATAATTGGTTCTATAGAAATACTTCTTATACCCTGCCTTTTTCGCACCGTACAAACATCGACCGTCTCGATCTTTCGCCCAAGGGTAATCTTTTGTTGACTGTGGATGAAAATGGTCGCGCAATTTTGACCAATTTCCAACGGCGCATTGCCATTCACCACTTTTCCTTCAAAGGACGAGTTTCTGCACTCAAGTTCTCCCCGTCCGGCCGACATTTCGCTGTCGGCGTCGGAAGACGCCTGCAAATCTGGCAGACACCCTCTACCCCCGGCACCGAAACTAATGGCGAGATTGAATTTGCACCCTTCGTTCTACACCGGGATCTTGCTGCCCACTTTGACAATATCGAAAGTGTCGAATGGTCCAGCGATTCGCGCTTCTTGCTCACTGCCGCCAAGGATTTGACGGCGCGAGTATGGAGCATGGACCCGGAAGAAGGTTTCGAGCCGACCACTTTGGCGGGACACAGACAGGGCGTGGTGGCTGCCTATTTCAATGCGACACAAGAAATGGTAGGTACTTCCTGGAAATTGGGTTTGGAAATACCATACTAATTTTTTGTATCCATAGATTTACACTGTCAGCCAAGATGGCGCACTCTTCCGCTGGGAGTACGTCACGAAAAAGGACGAGGAAACTATGGAGGACATTTCCGATGCCCGATGGAGGATCGTCAAGAAGGATTTCTTCATGCAGAATGACGCCAAGGTCAACTGTGCTGCGTTCCATGCGCCGACAAACCTTCTGGTGGTAGGGTTTTCAAACGGTCTATTCGGGCTCTACGACCTGCCAGAGTTCAATATGATCCATCAATTGAGGTACGTTAGTTTGTGACACCCTCCCTTCCACATGTGGCTAACATTTCCCCCTCCAGTGTCTCTCAGAGCAATATCGATGTTGTGACAATCAACAAATCAGGCGAGTGGCTAGGATTCGGATCGTCTAAGCACGGTCAGTTGCTGGTGTGGGAATGGCAATCCGAGTCATATATCCTCAAACAACAAGGTCACCTTGATTCTATGAACGCCCTCGCATATTCACCGGACGGTCAGAGAATCGTCACGGCTGCCGATGACGGCAAAATCAAGGTTTGGGATGTCAAATCAGGCTTCTGCATTGTCACTTTTACGGAACACACCAGTGGAGTGACCGCATGTCAATTTGCGAAGAAGGGAAGTGTGTTGTTCACAGCATCTTTGGACGGTTCTATCCGTGCATGGGATCTTATTCGCTACCGTAACTTCCGAACCTTCACAGCGCCATCCCGCCTGTCATTCTCCTCGTTGGCCGTGGACCCCAGTGGAGAAGTGATTTGTGCCGGTTCACCGGACTCCTTCGACATCCACGTCTGGTCCGTCCAGACTGGTCAATTGCTTGACCAGCTCTCTGGCCACGAGGGTCCGGTTTCCAGTCTTGCTTTCGCTGCCGATGGCAACCACCTTGTCAGTGGAAGTTGGGATCACACAGTCCGCATCTGGAGCATCTTCGGCCGGTCACAGACTAGTGAACCTCTCCAGCTCATGTCAGATATTCTCAGTGTGGCTTTCCGCCCAGATGGGCAACAGGTCGCCGCATCTACCCTTGACGGTCAGCTTTCCTTCTGGTCCGTTGAAGATGCTGTGCAACAAGGAGGTGTTGACGGTCGCCGTGACGTCTCTGGAGGACGCCGAGTGGCCGACCGCCGTACTGCTGCCAATGCCGCAGGCACCAAGTCGTTCAACCGAATCACATACAGCGCAGACGGTAGCTGCATTCTGGCCGGTGGCAACAGCAAGTATATCTGCTTGTATGATGTTGGAACTGGGTCATTGATCAAGAAGTTCACCGTCTCCGTCAACACCTCGATCGATGGTACCCAGGAGATCCTGAACAGTCGTGACATGACTGAAGCTGGTCCCCGTGCTCTGATTGACGAGACCGGCGAAGCTTCTGATCACGATGATCGTGTTGATAGCACTCTTCCTGGCGCAAGACGCGGCGATGCCGGTGCGCGCACCACACGCCCAGAAGTCCGCGTGACATCTGTGGATTTCGCACCGACTGGGCGAGCATTCTGTGCCGCCTCTACGGAAGGTCTCCTTGTTTACAGCTTGGATACTGACTTCATCTTTGATCCCTATGATCTTGACATCACAATCACACCATCCAGCATCATTGCCACGCTAGATGCTGCTAAGACAGCCGCCACATCCGACACTGTGGACGAGGAGAACACCTTCCTCAAAGCTCTTATCATGGCCTTCCGATTGAACGAACAAAAGCTACTTCGTGTCGTATATGAAGCGATCCCTCCGTCAGATATTCCCCATGTAGTTCGGTCCGTGCCCTCCGTCTATTTACCTCGCCTTCTCCGATTCGTTGCACATGCCGCCGAAGAAACTCCCCATCTTGAATTCAACCTCATGTGGATCGAGTCTTTGTTCAGCAGCCATGGTCGCTACTTCAAAGATAACACAGGTACATTCGCAACCGAGCTTCGCGCCGTTCAGCGGGCTGTCGATGATATCCGTGAAAATCTGAAGCGGTTGACGGAAAAGAACCTTTACGATCTCAACTACCTGCTCTCAAAGCCCGTTCTTGGAAACAAGAAAACCAGCAGTGCTCTGTTGGCCATGGAAACCGAGGATGCTGAGGTTCCTGATGACCAGATGGTCGATGCTGACGAGGAAGAGGGTGATTGGGTTGGCTTTGAATGATTGTCTTATGGGGGTTTTCTTCGTGTATGTGTCTACTTGCATCTGAGCCAGGCGTTTTGTATATAGCAAAGACCAAAAAAGGGAAATAGACAGAGAGAGGTCTTTGCCGGCCTTGTGTGTGTGAATAATATACTCCAAGTTCCGCTCTCTGAGACCTTCAAACGGACCTTCAAACGGACCCTTTGTCCATCTTTTTCGCCTTTAGCAAACGCCCTTTCTTAAAATAAAGGAAGTCTTACTTCCTAATACTATCCGACTTGTCTCCTGTGCCACCCTCTCATTACTTTTCTTACTCTTTCTTACCACCCAACAACTCTCTTAATCTCCCCGGTTCCAATATTCCCGGACAATCCAAGGCTCCGGGGGATCATTTATCTAAGTACCTTTTCCCCATCTGCTGTAAAAAGCCAGATTTCATCAACAAAGTCTGAAGATGACCGGCCTACCCTTCTGGCCCCTCGTTGGGGTGTTGGTTGTAGTGCTCTATCTCCTTCGCCGACCACCATCTTCCAGTTTGAGACATGTCCCAACTGTCAAGTACAATGCCTATCTACCGGATTTCATCAATCGACTCATCTACTATCCCAAAGCTGCTTCGATGATCAGTGAAGGATATGAAAAGGTGCGCAGTATACTGAAAAGTTAATCGGTTACCTTTTATTGACATCTGCAATCTTTAGTACAAGGATACTCCATTTCGTCTGCTCACCGGCGATGGAGAAGTCATCGTTTTGCCAGTGAAATATCAGGATGAACTGAGACATCTTCCTCCTTCGAAACTCAGTTCTCTACATGCCCAATATGAAGTAATCTCATGAGCTTATCTGTGCTACGTTACGTTGAGAGGTTGGAGCTGATACAGTCCTTTATAGAACGCGTTGGGTCAATATACCAACATCATCATCAATACCCTTTTACCTGCTATGACCGTGCGGAAAAAGTTAACGCCAAGTCTGAGTACTGATCTCACTTGCTTTTCTTATTTTCGACCTCATGCAAGACCATATAATTAACATATATCAAAACGAACAGGCCGTGTCGTCCCCGGTGTCATCGACGAGCTACGAGCAGCATTCGACACTGCCCTCCCAGGATGCGAAGGTGTGATATACGAACGCTACGTTGTGGGACCTCCCAGGCGAACAACTCGGATACTGACAGAGACGTCTCGAACACAGACACCTGGGTTCAAATCAATCCATGCGAGTTGTTCACGCGACTAATCGCCCTCTCGACAACTCGCATGATGGCCGGCGACGTCCTCCGCGAAAACAAAGAATGGCTCGACGTCGCAAGCAACTACGCCGTGAACGTAGGAATCACCATTCTCCTCCTCCGTCCAGTCCCCAAATACCTCCGTCCCATCGTAGCGCCTTTCCTCCCCAGCGTCCGGACAATGAAGAAGCAGTTGCGCTACGCGAAGAACCTCTTTATTCCGATGATTCATAAACGCAGACTGGCAGAACAGGCTAAAGATCCCAACTATACCAAGCCAGACGACTTCTTGCAGTGGATGATGGATCTAGGTAGGGAAAGGAATGAGGAACTCGAACCGGATACCCTGGCGCATCACATGCTGCTTTTGGTCACACTGGCGGTTACGCACACCAGCACGATGGCTTTGTGCCACTGTCTCTTTGATTTGGTTACTAGACCCGAAT